CGCCACTTTAGGTGTATGTGGCTGGTGCCTTAGCCACTTGAGCCACAGGCGCCGAGCCTAGATTTGCTTTAATAATGTTTTTTTGGTTGTTTGTTTGTCCAAAGGCAAGCTATCAACTCTCTTTCATCCATAAAATGAAGAAAGTGATTTACTATTCTATAAGGATTTTCATCTCTAAAACTACCAAAGCAATTAAAAAGAGATAAGTGACCAGTGGTGTTTTCTTCTCTTCAAACACTATTGTGGGTTTTCTGAATCATGAATGAAAATAGTTACATATTAAGCATGAAGGACACCACACATCGTTACGATGATAACAAGACTAGTACAATACTAAAATAAATAACTATACATAAAATATTAAATAAATAAATAAAGTACTTAGCAAGAATTTCAGACCTTCAGTTTACAGAGAATGCTTGTCTATTTAGCTATCCCTGAAGCAGCCTCTGTTCCCTTTCCACTAATATATGTATTTTATTGTTACCTTGAGACAACAACAGATTAAACCTGGGAAAATAAAACTTTCAAACATTCTACTCCCAGATATGGAAGGAAATAATATTACTCACAAAGCAGGTGGATCTGCAGTGAAAACTGTGTCAAGGCGACACACACTTCACTTCTTCCAAACAGAGATTGCCAGAATAAAAGACTAGAGGTCACTTTGCTTCACACATATTCTCCATCTTAGATTTAGCTACAAAATCTGTGCTCTCGTCATAACAGTATTAAGAATTTTCGTTGAGGTAAAATTCAGTCAAATTATGGCAATAATAGTAGGAAAGAGAACATATATATATATATATGAATTCTTTGAGAAGACAGCAGAAAGAAATTATAAAGTATGTAACACCAGGACATGGTTCACATTTCTGGGTTGTTTCTCTATTTTCATTTTTTTTAAAAAAGCTATATGTTTTTGATATATATTTCTAAATTTTATTATATCTGATTGCAAGTGATAATTATCACATGCTGTCCCCTTTCATTTATTTAATATTTTCCAATCAGAGGATAAGAAATTTTCTGTTTCAATTTGCTTTTATATTTCTAGTAAAACTGAATACATTTTAAAACTTATGAAATGCAGTCAAAGCCTCAATCAAAGGAAAATTCAGAGCATTAAATATTTTCATAACCAAAGATGAAAAAACAAACTAAACTAAAAAGTATTACATTTACCAAACTTTTTAAATTAAGGTTAAACAAATCTAGGGGTAAGAGTGATAGAAAGAATGCCCTCAGTATATATAAATTAATAACAAAAACTATTTAAGTAATAAACGCAGTCTACTAAGACATTAAAAAGAGAGACAATGCTAAAAGTAACTATATAATAAATATATGATATTCCAAAGGAAAACAAATTGCCAGTATATGTTTGTTGTAAGTAGGGTGACTAATTTATTATACAAATTGTGATTTTTGCCTACTTTTAATATTTTAATCGCATTTGTGGTTTAATACCATTAGTCCAATAACTGAATAATAAATTAATTCACTTATAAATGTTTGTAAAATAGCAATTAGTAGTGCATGAATATATCAGCAACTCACAATTTGTCATGCATTTTTACAGATATGTAAACCGTCTTCACAGAAAAAAGATATCAAGACATTATTGGATACTATCACTCGTAGAAAGTCTACAAAATTTTTGTTAAATTTCATAAATATTAACATAAACTTCCAGCATTAAAATACTGACTTGCCTTTCCCAATTATAAAATTAATACATGTTAATTGCAAAATATTTTAAATTACAGAATGTTATATAAAAGAAACTACCCCTAGTCCTACCTCTTTTATTATTATTACTTTCAAATGGGGTAGAAAGTGATATTTTGATATGTGCATACACTGTATAATGATCAAATTGGGGTAATTAGCGTATCAAACATTCGTCAGTTCTTTGTGTTATAAACATTCAAAATTCTTTCTCCCAGATTTTTGCAAATATACAATAAAAAATATAGAACTCTTCACATATTTGCATGTCATCCTTACTCAGGGGCCATGTTAACCGTCCCTGTATCATTTCAATTTTAGTTTATGTGCCACAGAAACAAGCACAGGACAGTGATTTTTTATGGAAATGAAAAAAGATGCTATAATAATTATAGCAGAACGACAGGTGTTAACTGGCACTGCCCCAGGGAAAATAAAAGGGAGTTATTATATTAATTGTAACTCATCAGTTGCTTTTGTATGCAACAGGAGTAAAGACTGACATAACACAATAAAGGAGGGGAGGACGCCCTCAAATAAAGGTAAAATCTAACAAATGTCAAAAACACGCACCGATGCTTTGTTGAATAAAACTATAAAACTTTGCTAAAGGACACGAAATAAGTTAAATAAAGAAAATTATTTTCCTGGATGGGAGAGTTCAATATCATTAAGACTTCTTCTAAATTAACTTAAAATTATAACGAGATTAGAATATAAACTCCATAGGCTGCTTTTGCAGGGAGTATGAGAAGGGGTTATTGACTAATTCAAAGGGTTGCTGGGATGAATGATGCATCAAGATAGTGCAGACGAATCAAAAAAAGAAGAATGAGGCTGGACTTCAATTTAATGAAAGTACTGTATAAAGCTAGAATATGTCAAAGAATGTGCTACTAATTTAAGAACATCTAATATTAAAATAGTAATGATATAACATTTAGTAATTATATTAGTAATATGCTATATACTAACTATGTATTAAGTCACGTCCGCAACTTCAACTTTCTGTTATTCCTATCCATCAGCCTTTGCTATCAAATCCTCTTGGGATTTTTGTCTTTTGTAGGTACAAGAGTTTGAACAGATTTATGAATACATTAAATCAATCAAGCACATTTATTGTAATTCTTAAGTTTGAATACATAGTTAGGAGCATGGAACCCAGGATGCACTAATTTTCTGATCCTTTAGGGCACTAGAACTATAATAGTTGCATTTAAATTCCATTTCTGTCTCTTTTTATAGTTGTGATTCTACATAAATTATTTGACCACTTTGAGTCTCAATTTCCCCAACTGTTAAATAAGGATCATAATAGTGCTTATCATATCGGCCAACACTAATAAAATAATGATATATAATAAGAACAAAATCTCAATGGTGTAAAATATAAGGACTGTTTACTTTTTGCACATGTCTGCAGTCAGCTGTGGCTTAGATGATCTGATGACACCCAGCTGGTGGCAGCTCGTTGGTGACGTGTCTGTTCCATGTATTACCCAGCCTCTTCTGGGACCAGGAGTGCAGCCTGGACTACTTACTTCCTCTGCAGGACAGAAAGTGCCAGCACTTTCCAAGCCTTTGGATATATTATACCTTCTAATATTCTCTTGGCTAAAGCCAGTTCCAGAAGCAAACTTCCAAGTCCAAGGAGAGAGAAACTCCATCCACTGAGGCAATGTAGAGAGTGAATATTTTTCAACCCTAACCTAACTTTGGGAAAAGAAAAATAAACTCTGTAATAAATTAAAATACTTAATACCTGGCAGAGAGAAGGTACTCAATAGTTAACTATCATCATTTTGATTGTTTTGATTATATCTTTTCATACTAAACCTGTTACATAATATGCAAAACTTGATTGTTATAAACTCATTTGCTATTTAACACAAACATATGGGCCCCCATTCTAATTTTCGCAGAGAGGATAAGGTATTTAAAAGATGAAATCTTTGATCTCAAAGGGTTAGAAGAGAATAGATCCTTAGTCTACCTTTTATTCTCACATATTTAAGCTTGAAAGCTATGGCTATAGAAGCTCGATGAGAAAAAAAAATTGGGAGACACAGAAATGAAAACGTGTTCATAGTTGCAACTACTTTCAATTAAGATACACCCAGTTTGTAGTTCATTATTCCAATTGTAACAGTTAGAATTCCACCTGGTTTCATATATGATGACTTTGGCATACAAAATCTCTACACATAGTTGGTAAGGCAGGTATCATTATTCATAATTTATACAGGAGGTAATTAAGATACATACAGCTTTTACCTTGACTGAGTTCGTAGGCTAATTTGCAATGGAGCTGTTACTATGACCTGAATGTTCTGCTTCTTAAACAGGTTAGTTCCATGAAATGCAGAACATAATGGATCTGGCTTCATTATGGAATAAAATATATCCAAAAGCTTTGCTGATTAACAAGTCACCTCACAATTTTACCAGTCCTGCTCACCAATCTGTTGGCGATACATAATTTCAAGTGTTCACAAGTATTGACTTTTGGAGGCAGACAACATGCACCTGAGATTAAACCAAAGATGTTTCATTTTCTAGGTAATCTAGTCCGGAAGTTGAGATTAAAAAAATTATCCTTCTCCTAAATTTTTCCATAGATAATTAATGTGATGTAGTAATTGATTTTTTCAGTTGGATAATTAATCATTTAAAGGAAGCGTAGCCTGAGATTTCAGTTGGTCTCACATAATTTTAGTAAAAATCCCTGCGGTATTAAGTAATTGATTTTTCCTCTGTTCTTTAACTACTGGTAGATTCATTTAATAGCAAAATCCATTAAGTTAATTACATATTGGATCTACGTGGTGCTCAATTAGAGTGCACATAAACACACAATTTGATCATTTAACTTCAAGTTATAAATATTAATAAAATGCAATATTTAATTTATAAGTAGAGTATTAAATTTAAAGGAGAGACATTTCATAAAATGTGTGACATTCAAAAGTCTAAACAATAGCAATAAAAACGATAACTTTTTATACCACATCTTGGCCTCACATCATAAAATCAGAATATATATTTTAATTATTTTCATCTTTTGATTGCTAGCACTTAAGGCTTTCCAATTTTAGAAGATAAGCAATTTTCTGTCACTATCTGCCTTAACACTGCATTCTCAAAACCCACATACGTTTGGTCAACAAACCCTGTCAGTCTGGAAGCGTCTTGTGAATGCCAGTCCTCTGTTCTACTCCCACTACTAGGACCATATTTGAGCCAGCACTATTTCTCTTTAGAAAAATTGAGCAAACCCATAACACATTGGGTTCTCTGCTTCAAATATTTCTTTTCACACCCCTTCAGTACTGTCCATGATTTAATTTTCATCAAAATTAAATGGGATGGGACTAAAAGTAGAAGAATGGTGTTCCACAATGATGGGCATCACACATGCAGTCTGGACATTGGGGAGTAGCATAAAATTATGTGTGTCAAAATGTAAAGTATATGGTTTGTTAATAAATAATATGCAATAAAAGAAACATTGGATGATTTCACGTCCCTCTGATGTCTCTTCACTGCTTATACAGTAAGGTTGGACTCCTTAAAATGATACAAAAACTTCACAACCACAGTAAGTCTCCAGCCCATTCTTCCCCTGAGGAATCCGTCCTCAGCCATTCACGCCTTACATAAACCATTCCTGAAAGTCCTTGTCGTCCTATCTTAGGAAACATCCTCATCTTCTAAGTTCCGTTCCTAATGTCATCAGTTCTGTGAATCCATTTTCATGTCATTAAGACAAATCTATGTGTTCCCTGTGTAAATCTGCCTATTTTACAACTTGAGATATAACATGGTTCTCAAAAAAATATGTCTTCTAAAATGTTTATTTCTTCTTGTTCTTGCAAGATTCTTCACCTGAGACAGAATCCAGTGCATTATAGTGTTTGCTGAATAAATAAATACATAATATGGTTGAGGAAAGCACATTAGCTAATGAAAACATCATCAAATCACATCAAATTTCTCCAAGTTGAGCTCATCTCAAACTGTTTCCTTTTTAATCCCCCACATTTATGAGATAAAAAGTACACTAGGAGCCAATTGCATAAGAATTTGTGATACTGTATCATATTGAAGCTTCTGTGGTTTGTCTATGAGCAAAATAATATTATGGACAAAGTTTGTGATTTGAAGTTAAAGAACATGGATTTCTGTATCACGCTGATATTTTCTTACTATGTGACCTTGTAGAAGTTATTTAACTTCTTCGAGCCTCAATTGCCTCCTCGGAGAGGAGAATGATAAAGCTGGCTCTAACGCACAGACTTTTATAACAGATTGTTGTAACCCCAGGGTAGGGCTGAGTCACTAATGAAGACTTACAACTCTCAGCTCCTTGCTAAGATCTCTAATTTCCTTCCTAACCTGCATGAGCTGATCACATTAAACATCCTGACAACCAGTCTCTTAAAGCAGAAATAATGCAGTGGGATTTGGAAGAAGATATCTAAATAAGAATTATGGTTTCTGCTATTGCTAACAACATCCCCTGCCTTGGGTCTGGGAATTCTCACTAGCAAGGATGCAAAAGCCTGAGAATCCAGTCTTCCATGCAGAACACAGCGAATGAGAGAGCTTGGGTGAAAGTGTTCCACTCTACATGGGAGCTCCTAACTCTTCATCTGGAGAAGGAAGCAAAGACCAAGGTCAGAGCTCAGTTGCTCAGGGAATTTCTATGATAGCCAGAATCTCAGAAATAGATTCCTCTTATACCTACACAAGTTTAATATCCCAAGAGCCTTGTCTGACTGCTTGACCCAAGAATTTCTATGACTTGAAGGGTTATTGCTTTTGTTGCTTCACTTTGTCCTATCAGGGATGAATGGAGCATGTTGACAATTTATAAATCCTTTGACAATATATCTCTGGAGACTCTTCATGCCCCTGGCTTATAATACATTGTATTTTTCTTTGTTTGTGTTGGGTTATTTTTGTTCCTTCCTCTTTACCCCTTCCCTGTCTTCCTTCTTTCTTTTTTCAATCTTGCTCCCTCTCTTTTCCTCTCCCTTGCCCCTTCTTATAAACAAATTCCATATACACAAGGCAATTCAACTGTAGCATTTCTACCTAGGGTGTGATCTTTGATACAGAAAAAGTTTATAATATTTTCTTAATAGTGGGTACAAATCCTGGCTCTATTCTTTTGTATATAATTTGTTATATAACTTGTGATCGATTACTTCACAACTTTTAGACCACAGATCCTCAGATGGAAACAATGATAATACCTTCCTCATGGGATTATTGTGATAAGTCTATAAACCCAGAGCATAATGTCTAGCACAAAATAAACACTCTAATGTTATTTGTTA